GAAGAGTCGGACATGACTTAACGACTGAACAACAACAACTCTGGGGGAATGCAATGGACAGCTCTACCATTTGTCTCTGCCCAGCAGAGTCTGTAATTTTTAGTCACCAATGACATATGGCCACAAAAAATGCCAATGAAATGTTAGGTTTCATCAACAGAACTACTATTTCCAAATTACAGATCACAGTACTTCTGTGCTCACTGGACCTCATCTTATGTACTAGGCCCAGTCCCAGCCATTAAACTTTAAAAAAGGAAAGGGCTTAAAGAAAAACAACAAAAATATTTGGGGATTAGAAAGTGAATGTTCAACCATAATAGAATCCTCCTGACTATGTCATACTAGTGTCAGCTGCAAAATTAATATTTGTTATAGATAACATATTTTTATCTGTGAGGTATTTGAATACTCAGAGGAACTATACTATATTTAGAAAACAATACTTTATTTTGCAATTTTTAGTCCTTAAAAAACAGGAAACTCACAACTAGCTTTCCTTAATGTTCCATTTGTAATATCATTTACTGAGCAAAATTAATTAACAGAAACAACAAAAAAGCATTTGTGGTGAAAAATAGCAACTGTAATTCTGATAGATTTTTGTTCTTATTTCTGGAGCTCCTCCAAATTCTAGTAACTAGCCTGCAGAGGAAGAGGTCCAGATTCAAAGAACTGAAATGGGCCAAATAAGCCATCTCGTAATCCACCTGCTTGCTGCTAAAATTCTGGAGCTGGACCACTCTTAAGAAGCAACTATGCAGTTTTCTGCTTGAAGGCCTTGAGTGAGGAAGAGCTCAACAACAAAATTGGTTACATGTTTTAATTACTCATACTATTAGGAAGTTCCTCAAACGTTTAGGTACAGAAAAGGCCAAAGGAGTAGTTATGAGCAAACAACAAAGTGACCCAAAACAATACGAAAGGGTAAAAATGAAGTGGCCAATATATCCAATGGCCAGCATTAATGAATGTTGATATTCTTAAATGAATGCTAACAATTTCAGATGAAATTTGTTAATGTCCAAAACAGACTCTAAATGTGGTCCTTTTGAGCTATACTAAGTAAAGGAAGAAATATATTCTGTCAACCCATAATGCTATATTCTGTTTCAGTAGTATTTTATAAAAGAGGAAAAAGTTGCTTTCATCACAATATTTCTGTTTGCATACCTTGCCTTCGTAGTCTTATATGCAAAAACCTTTTGTGTGTGGGCCTTCAAATCAGTGCTGGCTCCTGGCGACTGTCTAGACAAGTCCCTGCAGTTTTCTTGGCAAGGTTTTTCAGAAGTGGTTTGCCATTTCCTGCTACCTAGGGCTGAGAGAGGGTGACTGGCCCAAGGTCACCCAGCTGGCTTTCATATCTAAGGCAGTACTAAAACTCACTGTCTCTCAGTTTCTAGCCTGATGCCTTAACCACTGCACCAAACTGGCTTTCAGGCCAAACTTAGGCCCCAGTATATTTGCCACCCACAGCTACTACAGGATTCCTGTTGAATTGTGCTTTCCTTTATAGTACTGGTATTAGTCTAATGGGTATCACTTTAGTTCCATCATAGGACAGTAACTATAAAGGAAGAAAAAACATTTGATTGGGAAACGGCTATGTGGCACTTAATAGTAACTTACCTTATACCTAGTTTCCTGTATTCTTGCTTTGAGTTTTGAACTCCCTGTTTTCATACCAGATACTAAGACAATATCTCCTTGTTTTGCCACTTTTTCCATCTCTAATATATATGAAGGTGGTATATATGTTGATTCGGAAAATTTCAGAATGCTGTTAAAAATGTTAATAATTTTAGATGTTAATATTATATTATTATATATTTAATATTATTATTTTATAAAAGAGCTTCTTCCAGAGGCTCTAGGTGGTACACAAACACAATATAATAGAACACAATAAAAATGCAAGCAATAGCAAACAATGACAACATGGATTTTCTTCTAACTGCTTAATCACCAAAGGCCTTCCAGAAAAGCCAGGTTTAACTATTCTCCAGAAGGCCATAGAAGTGGGGCCACCTTTGCCTCAGGGGTAGACTGTTCCAAAGGAGGGGAGAAAACTTACCTGCATGCCCCCTCTTGTCATACCTGCTGATAAGATGGGACCTTCAGCAGGCACTCCCTTTTCACTTGGGTTGTATGGGCAGAATATACTCAGAAATGCAAACTCTAAGATACCCAGGCCATATAACCTTTATGAAAGGCTGCTTTAACACCTTTAAAACATATTACACTACCTTTTGTGTTAGATATCTACATACAACATAAAAGATTTGGAAGGCTCCTTGATGTTTCTAAAAAATCCTTTGGCTATTACTTCAGGAAGAAGATGAACAGGAGAGAGAGAAAATTAGTTTAAAAGACTGATCAAAACCCAAGCTATTTTAGATGTGGATGAAAATGTCTTTAAGATCATGTCCACAGAACCAGTCTAGCTCAGAGATAACCAAATAGCACTTAAAGTTCAGAGTGACTGGTACACCACATTTATTAATGTCTTGGTAATGTTCTGGTTAAATGACTACAATGTATCATACATGGAATTGCCTATGAAAGTTTCAAAGATGCTGGCTTGGCTCAAAAATCTCCACTGGTTGCCAGCTGACTTCCAAATAATAACTCCATAAAACCCAATATGACCTGAATGATGGTATCACTCTTCCCAAATGTTAAGATTTTCAATATTCTCAATACCTTTAATAACTAGCTTTTAACTTTCCATCTTTCATTCATCATTTTTTCCAATTTAATTCTAATATCATGTATCTTCTGATAATTTTTCTCTCTTTGCTCTTTTCTTTTAAAAGTGTATGTTAGCTAAAAAAAACATTATGTCCTTATGTGCTACTATTCCCTCAAGGTTATGTACTGTATTAGATAATTGCATAAATGTAGTATATTGGTAACTAACATTATTTTAAATTCTTACAACTACCCAACTAAAACTAAAACCTCTCAAAAACTATGCTCAAACTGCTTACATTTCTGTGTTTTAGACATCAGATGATAACATTTTTATATTACAAAATCTTTCACAACGCAATGAAACCTAAATTGAATGGACCAACTGGGCGGCAGGGAGGTGTCTGTTGCTTTCACCTGTCCTTTAAATCAAGGAGCACTGTATCTTGTGGTGATATCATTATGCAAACAATGCAAATTGTCATTTTATATAATTTGTGTAGGAGTACGCAAATGACACCAAATGATATAAATGCAATGGCAATTCCATCCACTGGATTTGAAGTTCATTGTATCAAAGTCCTCTTAAGTCAAGGTTTCATTGTGTATTATGTGGAGGAGCTTGCATTTGTAGTTTCTGAATGTTCTGCTGAATTACACACATTTAAGTTGCAAAGCAAAATATATAGTGTAAATAAACTTCAGAAACACATAATCCTCATTGTTCTGGGTCTACTCTCCAAAGACCACAATAGCAGATTTATATAACATAATTTTTGTGCACTCTAGGAGAAAGTCCTAATTATGATCAGCAGCAGTAGCCAGGACACTCCTGACTCTTCCTCCATGGCACTGTTAATATAATAGCTCAAGGCAGCTCAAGTTCCCTTGCATACTCCTGTCCTGTTCAGTTTGGGGTGCAAGAACATTGCCCAGATGCAGGGATAAAGGCAGTATCCCTAGCTGAAGATTACTTTGCAGCCAGAAGAGCTGAGGAAGCTAGAAGAGGACATGGAGAGGTTGGAAAAGGGAAGAAAAAAAGCAGACACTGATAAAGGAGGTATGCAGGGAAAGGTAACCTTTTTCCAGTCTAAGGGAAGTCAAACAAACCAAGGGGAGGATAGATCCTGTTACAAATGTGGCTAGGTAGGACACTTGGCTAAAGATTGTTGAAGTCACCAAGGAAAGTAACTTTCTCAGCCATGTTGAAAGCCCCAGGGAGTAAGAAATAACAATACAAGCTAAGGTCAATTTAATTCCTGTTTTGGGTTTAGTTGATACCGGAAGCAGACGGACTTTAGTTCGCCCTTATTTAATCAAGGGAGCACCGAGAGTGGGTGCTCCCTTGATTAAATAAGCACTTAACAAGTGTTTATGGTCATACTAGACCTATACCACTAGTCAAAGCAACTATACAGATTAAGCATCAACTGGAAACATGGTGGTTGCGGTAGTCACTAAATTACCCTATCAGACAGATTTTTAACATGTTCTTGGGACAGATTTCCCTGGTTATGCAGAGTTAATATGGTCAAAGAATTTATTTCCAGAGGGAGTGGTAGGAGTAACTAGTCAGGCACAGGCACAAAAACAGGAAGAGAAAATTTCAGAGGCTATAGATTTACTCCCCTCCCATCCAGATTTGATTGAGAAAGGAAGTAAGCCCCAAAAAGCGGGGGGGGGGGAATAGGAAGGCGGATAAAGCTAGAGGAAAGCCCCTGGATACTGGAGGTCTCCCATGGGACATTGACAGGGGAAATACAGTGGAAAGACATTTCTTTAAAAACATGTTAGCAAGAAGTGACAACAGATACAGATAAGTGGCTTGAAAATCCCATATATGAATGTATAAATAGCATCCTATACAGGATAAGAAAAAAACTAGTTACTCAGGAAAGGATAGAGTAGTTAGCAGTTCCGAGCCAATATAAAGAAAAGATTTTACAACCGGCACCTGAAAATCCCTTGGCAGGACACTTAGGTAGGGAAAGGACACTCTACCAAATATTAGATAGAATTTACTGGCTGGGAATTGGAGGAGATGTTGATAGATACTGTCAAGCACACAGGGAATGCCAGTTAGTCAGAAGGAAAGGGAGACAAGATAAAACTCCAGTGGTACGAGTACCTATTGTGCCAGAACCATTTGCAAAAGCGGCTATGGATATTGTAGGCCCTCTCAGCTAAAGGGAACTGATACATACTGGTGGTGTATGAATATGCAACCCACTATCCAGAGGCAATTGCTTTATGAACCACAATAGCAAAAAGAATAGCAGAGGAACTGATAAAAAATATTTAGGAGAGTAGGTATACCTCATTATATATTGGCAGATCAAGGAAGTAATTTTCAATCTGGACTGGATTATCTGGACCCCTTTCAGTCAGGGTTCAGGCCATGTTACAGAACTGAGAAGGCACTGATTGTACTCTTAGATGACCTCTGGCAGGAGTGGGATGGGGGTAGTACATCCATCCTTGCTCTTCTTGATCTCTCAGTGGCCTTTGATACCATTGATCCTGGTATCCTTCTGGACTGTCTTCAGGAGTTCAGGGTGGGCAGCACTGTGTTGTGCTGGTTCTCCTTCTACTTCTGGGCTTGGTTCCAGTTGGTATTGATGGGGAGAGAGATCCAGCCTACGGCCCCTACTTTGTGGGGTGCCCCAGGGCTCGGTGCGGTCTCTTCTTCTATTGCACATATATGAGGCTTCTGGGTGACCTCATTCAATGTTGATGATACCCAGCTTTATATCTCTACCCCAGGCCATCTCAGTGATGCCATGGATGTCCTATCCCAGTGCCTGCAGGCTGTAGGGGCTTGGATGGGGCACAATGGGCTTTGATTCAACCCAAGCAAGACTGAGTGGCTTTGGGTATTTGGACCTTCCAGTGACAAGGTTGTTCCACCTGTCCCCAGAGGGACCCAATGTGTAATCTGAGGGTCCTCTTGGACTCATGGCTCCTGCTAGAAGAGGAGGTGGCAGCAGTGGCTAGGAGGACCTTTGCACACTTATTGGTTGTGTGCCAGTTGCACCCATTCCTGGACTGGGAGGCTTTGCTCACAGTCACTCATGCTCTCATGACCTATCACCTGGATTACTGCAATGTGCTCTACATGGGGCTCCCCTTGAAGAACATTCGGAAGCTTCAACTGGTGCAGGATGTAATTGCACAGGTAGTAAATGGTGTTGGATATTTGACACATGTAACACCACTGCTGCGTGAGCAATTCAAGGAATTGGTTATCACCTTTAAAGCCCTTCATAGCTTGGGACCAGGTTACCTGAGGGACTGTCTTCTCCCAGTTGTTTCTACCTATCCAATTTGGTCCGGCAGGTTGGGCATGTTACAGGTCCTGTCAGTCAAGGAATGTCGGCTGGCAGGGACCAGGAGACGTGCTTTCTCCACCATAGTCCCTGCTCTCTGGAATGTTCTCCCTTCAGAGATTAGGATGACCGCAACCCTGTTGGCCTTTCATAAGGCCTTGAAGACCTGGTTATGTGCCTGGGCCTGGGGCCCTGAGTATATTAAGGGCCCCATTAACATCTATGGTGATAATTTTACCCGACAACCATATATATTTATTTTGTACTGGCTGTAACTGTTTTTAACTGTTTTATGTTTTTACGATTGTTTGCCACCCAGAGTCACTTGCTGAGATGGGCAGCTATAGAAATCAAATAAAAACTATCAATCAAACAACCCTCCTGAAACAGTTCTATGAAGTGTTGGGAGTAAAAGGAGTGAGAACTAGTCCGTATCATGCTCTAGCAGATGGTTTTACTGAAGGAATGAACTAAACTCTCAAGAGCATGTTTAAAAAATATGCAGGACAATTGGGAAATTTGGTTACTATATCTCATGTTTGCATACAGGGAAGTACCACAAGCATCAACAGGATTCAGTCCTTTTGAATTAATATATGGAAGACAACCAAGGGGAATCCTGGATGTTGTTAAAGAGAGCTGGAGTAACTGGACTGAATACCCTAAAAACCTGGTTGAATATGTATTGACTCAAAGAGAAAAACTACAGTCTCTAACCCAGATTGTTCACGAACATTTAGCCCTGGCAGAGGATTCACAGAAAAGACGATATGATAAAAATGCACAGAAGAAACAACTGGCAGTAGGAGACCAAGTGCTACTGATATTACCAAGCACTGAATGCAAACTACAAGCCCAATGGCAAGGTGCCTACACCATTGTGAAACAAACCACTCCTGTAAACTATCAAGTCGATCTGGGAAAATGTAAGATCTACCATGCCAATTTCTTGAGGAAATGGCATACCAGAGAAGAATACCCTATACTTGTTGTTTTGAATAGGGATCATCAAGACCTTATGGATCAGACATCTGAAGAATTGGGTAGTGCCAATAATCAAGAAGTACAAGTCAATCAAGATCTATCACCATCACAAAAAGATGACATAAAATTGCTGATCCAGATCTTCAACACTACATTTACCTGGAACAACCACATTAGTTGAACATGTCAACAAGCTTCCAAAAGATAATGAGAGAAAGAGTTTACTTCTGTGGATAAGCTATTCTACAGGAGGGAAGCTCCTACAGAGAATGCCACTTCCATGCTACCTCTGCCAGATACATACATATATGTGTGTTTCACTGGAATGACTGTTTTCCATTACAGACAATCTCTTACAGTGTTTCTTTGTCTTATAATTTGCAACGTAAGTATATACAAACTACTAAGGTTTGAATAACTGGCATGGAGCCATTAGTATAGCACTGTAAGTTAGAACCAGATGGATGAGACGATTATACCAACTGCAGCTTTTATGAAAACTCTGTGGTCTGTTCTCAAACACTCTTGGAGAATCACACCCAAATATCCTTTCTTTCTAAGAACTGCAATGAATAACAACTCACATTATCTATATTTAGACCAGATAACTGGCTCATAATGAAATGTTCAAAAGTCTAACATAAAGAGGCTAGCAATAGTACAGTAAATATAGTGGCAATCTGGGAATGCAACTGCAGAACTTTAGAAAGATAGATAGCTTCTTCACACTTTTTTAACAAATATTTTTGTAAAAGAAATATCTCTGCGCATTTAAAAGCACTAGTCTAGCTACAATCTCTATTACCATGAACATGTGTACAAATGTGCATGATAGCAAAAGCTGTAGCTAAGTGTATCTGAAACAAAAGAAAAAAAACTCAGAGAAACATGAAGGGAAGGGAAGGGAAGGGAAGGGAAGGGAAGGGAAGGGAAAGAAGAAAGAGACAATAAGACAAAGTTTTAATTTTTAGGCAGGTAAAAAGAAAAGGCAAAACAAGAAGCTACCACAATTATGGGAAAAACTCACCATTTGCAAATTGTCTAGCCATTTACCTAATGTCTACCTTTATATACACATTAACGACTAAATAAATTAAATGAAACTTACCGCAGTGCATTATGGAAATCTGAGAATCCATTAATTTCAGAGTTTTTCATAACAGTCCACTCAAAAGCAAGTCCTGCCAAAGTGCTGAAAGTATTTCCTTTAAGTAATTGAACATCAAAACAGTTAGAATATCAAAACAGTTTTCTTTCATCTGTAAAACTACCTGCACAAGCACATGACAAATGTTTAAGAATTACAATGAGCAAGAACAAAAGAAATACTGAAAATGAAAATAAAGCAGAACTGCACACACACAAAATGATCAGGTAAACTCATCTCAGAAATAGTTGGCAATATGACTAAGTGTAATGATCTGGGGAAAGAGGAATTGAGGCAGAACACAATTCATTTATCTAACAGAAATCACAAATTTGTATTAAATATTCTATAAATATAATGCAAATTGTAACATATTGATATAAATATAATACATTTATGTATATCAGACGCATGATTTATGATATTTGATGAAAACTTTTTAAAAATGGAAAGATTTAAAATGGCGACAATGGAAAATTAGAAGGGATAGGGAAACAATCTTTTTTCATTAATACTATCAATGCCTCATCAACCACAGAAAGTGAAATTGCAAATGATTATTCACAAGCACATTTTCTTTTCAACTGGCACTATATGTAAATGCCCCCTATCTGACTGCAAATGCCACTCCGTGATCTAATGTGCATATCCCCCTGCAACATATACAGTGGGGCAAAAAAGTATTTAGTCAGCCACCAATTGTGCAAGTTCTGTTTGTAGGTGACCAAATACTTATTTTCCACCATGATTTGCAAATAAATTCTTTAAAAATCAGACAATGTGATTTTCTGGATTTTTTTTCTCATTTTGTCTCTCATAGTTGAGGTATACCTATGATGAAAATTACAGGCCTCTCTCATCTTTTTAAGTGGGAGAACTTGGTTTGTAGGTGACCAAATACTTATTTTCCACCATGATTTGCAAATAAATTCTTTAAAAATCAGACAATGTGATTTTCTGGATTTTTTTTCTCATTTTGTCTCTCATAGTTGAGGTATACCTATGATGAAAATTACAGGCCTCTCTCATCTTTTTAAGTGGGAGAACTTGGTTTGTAGGTGACCAAATACTTATTTTCCACCATGATTTGCAAATAAATTCTTTAAAAATCAGACAATGTGATTTTCTGGATTTTTTTTCTCATTTTGTCTCTCATAGTTGAGGTATACCTATGATGAAAATTACAGGCCTCTCTCATCTTTTTAAGTGGGAGAACTTGGTTTGTAGGTGACCAAATACTTATTTTCCACCATGATTTGCAAATAAATTCTTTAAAAATCAGACAATGTGATTTTCTGGATTTTTTTTCTCATTTTGTCTCTCATAGTTGAGGTATACCTATGATGAAAATTACAGGCCTCTCTCATCTTTTTAAGTGGGAGAACTTGGTTTGTAGGTGACCAAATACTTATTTTCCACCATGATTTGCAAATAAATTCTTTAAAAATCAGACAATGTGATTTTCTGGATTTTTTTTCTCATTTTGTCTCTCATAGTTGAGGTATACCTATGATGAAAATTACAGGCCTCTCTCATCTTTTTAAGTGGGAGAACTTGGAGAACTTGCACAATTGGTGGCTGACTAAATACTTTTTTGCCCCACTGTATTTGGCTTTTAAAATCCTAGCATTACTCCTATTACTGATGAAAGACAGTTATGCAAAAAGTGCATTTACTCTAAAAATAAATGTTCCTTGATATTGTCACAGCTGTGATTCATGAAACAAATTAGATACCACAAGATAGCTTATTTGCAAAAAGAATTATCTGTAAATAATTGCTTAATGTTTTTGAACTACCTGACAAACCTCACTGCACAAGTTGCCACAATAAATCTTAGGAGAGTTCAAATCTCTGACTTCTCACTATATAAACCACCTTGCCAATATGGCATCCTTCAGATGTGTTGGGAATAGAATTCACTGAATTTCTATCTTGGAATTCTGGAAGTTAGTTTCCGTACATCTGGAGGACCCTTGGCTAGGCAAATTTACACATGTTCATTAAGAGTCATTTCGTGACTTTCAGGAGCAAGGATTTAAAATCATTGATATTTAATAATACAGTGTATCATAGAGGAAATATATTTCAATGAACAAACGTAATGGACAGGTATTCAGTTGTGTAAAAGTAATTCATTGTTTTCATGGCCTATCATTTAACACTACAAAATTAAGACAATTTTTCTTAAAATATTACTGAAATCTAAACAAATTATTGATTGTTATTTTCTGTGTTTCCTTTTCCTTTCAATATACAGAAGTATTTCCTACTTCTTTTGTGACACATACCAGTGATATAAGGCACAAAAGGGTCTTAGAACATTCATGCTTTTGTCACTTCTATGATTTTACCTGCAATATAGTCTATATGAACCTGTCTTTGGGTACAATTTAGAACAGGAGTTTGAAACTTGCAGAGCACAAGCTGCATGTGGCCCTCCAAGTCATTTTGTGACCAGGTACCAAATCCAGCTGCTGTCACAATCTGAGACAGGACCAGTCAGCTAGGTGCTGGCACATACCATACCAACTTCACATTCCTATTACCTGAGCAGGATGGCATTTCCCTCTCCTTGGTATCAGCAGGCATGCTCTCTTCCCAGCCAAGACTTGCTGAGAGATGCTGGATCACTGCTGCTTCCTGCCTCTGCCCTGTTTCCCTTAAGTGGGTATTCTCTTGAAGCCTGATTGACAGCGGCAGACTGCAAGGAAGCCCTGAGCAATCCTAATCTTATCCTGCCGATTCTGCTGTCTCTGGCTGAAGCAAGGGCAGCGTGCATTCCTACTTGTCTGTTACCCGTTGCTTTTAAACTCCCTCCTAGCCCTTTCAGTTATGTCACCCAGCATCTGGAATAATATCCTAAGAAATAATATCCCTGACATTATTGTTGCTTTCTCTTAGATGAGCAGTGAAAATACTTACATATTTCACTGAATCTTTTAGAATACTGTTTTTCTTAAGAATGTTTCTATTATAGCTTTTGACTTTGTTGTGAACTGCTTTAGATTGTTAAGTATTATTTTCATTGACAGCTTTTTAAATGACCTGAGTACAAGGTTTCCGAAATAAATGTACTGTACATCTATTTAATTTAAAATCAAGGGAAAATTGATTGATTGACTGAATGTTGTCTAAAATGTTTATATATTAACAGAAAATATTTTCTTGACATTCTTAACCTCTGAGAGAATGATTTAGGATTTCCATTTGATGAATCTCATGGAATTTCTTGTATCTTGAATTTCCTATTAACTGTATCTCAACAAGTTATCAAGAATTAATTTTGAAGATAATCCATTGGTAGCACTACACTTCTCTAATATTACATTGTATGAATAGTAACATTTCCAAAAAGTACTGGTAGAGTTGTAATCAAATTAGTATATATTAGCATTTGGGGTTGCAATGCCCAAAGGGAAGGACTATTCCTTTCAGTCAGAAGTCTGAAAAAACTGGAAGATTCACTCAAAAATCTTTCCTAGTGACTCCTGATATTGGTTTCTAATTCATATTTTTTAAGAATATGAACTGATGTCGTATAAGACATTAATAAAATTCCTGTTGTTGTTAGCTGTTAAGTTTGCTATTAATTCCCAAGTTTCCATATTAAATACTGGAAAACCAAGGCATATTATTCTTTGAATCAATGATATTTAAGTGTGGGAAACAGTTTTGGCTATAAATTATTCAGCAAAGAGCTCTGAACAAGTTGTATAATTAACGATATATTTATCCAAATCTGGTCACCATTTTTTAGTGTTACATTAATTCTTAGATTACCTTTATCTATGAAAATGTTCTGGGTGGAAATATTAAATGTGGATGTTTAAAATCCTTGTATTTCTTTAAAGATTAGTATTAATTAGGTTAATTTATTTTCCTTTTTAACTGCATTTATTATTTTCTTAGTTTTTGTTTTGACACTGAATTGGTTCAATTAAAAAAAATAAAGCAAAAATAAAGAAATAAATGTGAATATAGACTATTGTAAAAATCTCACTTCTACTATAATAATTTTGCAGTCAACTAAAATCCATGTAATTAAACATAATATGAAAGTGCTATTAAAAGACAAGGCATATATCTTATACCATCAATATGCAGTCATGCATTTGAAAGAGAAAAGTGTTGTCTTTCCTGGATTAAAATGTTAAATCAGTAATACTTCAGATACCTTCAGAATCTAGGGCTTGAATTTTCAGCTGCAGTGGTGAATCCTCAAGGTACAGTTCCTTTGTTGTAGATACTATGTGAATAGTATGAATAGCATCAACTATAGCATCACAGCGAAGCACCTGGCCAGTCACTTGATGAAAAAGAAGAAAATATTGTTACTGATCCAGTCAACATTAAGCATTGATACAGTCTGCAGTTTAATTCAGCATTCTACAACCTGATGCCTCTAGATGTTTGGGACTATGACTCTCAGAATTCTTACCCACCCTGCTGTGCAGGAATTCTGGCCTCTATCCAGAATTGATGTATAAGAATAATCTTATATTCTAACAAATTGAACTGCAGCATGCAGGAGAGTGTACACAGCATGGCTGCTTCAAAACTGCTTGATGCATGTACATGCAGAGACAACTAAAAACCACTTGCAAAGCAACCACACAACCATGGAAGAAGGCATATCTACTTTTACAGTTCAAAAGGGGCACTTCATACATGCTCCTACATGTTCCAAAGCACCCCTTGCATAGCCCTAATACAAAAATCTGAGGGCCATGATGGATCTGTTTAGGAAAGTTGTGAAAATTATTGTCAATCCAAAAAGACCTCTGAGGTGATTCAATATAGTGCTGTTTAGTGTGTGTGTGCGTGTGTGCATTACAAATAACTTTGAAGATATGCAAAATTCATTTATGATTATACTGAAGCACAAGTTCCTATAACAAATCAACTTTACATCTTAGATGACATTTGTATTTATAGTTAGCTCAAGATAAGTATATAGAGATAAACCACATTTGCACATCATTCAAAAGAGACAATAAAAAACCTAAGAAGAAAACAAAAAGATCAGAACACTTCCCCTCCAGCAGCCTACACCCAGATAAGCAGGGATAACATCAGACAAACAATCAAACAGAAAACAATACCCTAATCAAGGAACTATCAAAGAGAAAACCATACCTCCACCAACACTGGCAGGGCAAGCCACTGTATATAAACAGGGAGCAAACCCCATACTCACCAGCACTGATGATGTTACCTAATCAGATAATGAAGCATGTGGAAGCAAACAACTACAGTGGGCCAAAAAAGTATTTAGTCAGCCACCAATTGTGCAAGTTCTCCCACTTAAAAAGATGAGAGAGGCCTGTAATTTTCATCATAGGTATACCTCAACTATGAGAGACAAAATGAGAAAAAAAAATCCAGAAAATCACATTGTCTGATTTTTAAAGAATTTATTTGCAAATCATGGTGGAAAATAAGTATTTGAAACAAAAAGATCAGAACACTTCCCCTCCAGCAGCCTACACCCAGATAAGCAGGGATCCAAATACTTATTTTCCACCATGATTTGCAAATAAATTCTTTAAAAATCAGACAATGTGATTTTCTGGATTTTTTTTTCTCATTTTGTCTCTCATAGTTGAGGTATACCTATGATGAAAATTACAGGCCTCTCTCATCTTTTTAAGTGGGAGAACTTGCACAATTGGTGGCTGACTAAATACTTTTTTGCCCCACTGTAGGTTCAGAGAGCACCAAGGACTCCTCAGTTCAACCCAGAGCTACATGTATTCTCTTCTATTGGAACTTAGCTCAAAGCAAGTTACAAATAGCTCCAAGATGATATTCTCAGACCAGAATACACTCCAGATATACAAAGTCATTCAGCAGACATTTACCAATAGTATCAGTTATCCATATTTCACTTTTCAAGGCACACATCTCCATCACTCAATCTAATCTATGCAAATACACACCATGGCCAGTTTTAGGGTTTCTCAATCAATACAAGTTCCACAAGCAGGTTAAAATACTTCATACACACACACTTTAAAGGGAGGCATTAAATGCCCATCAACTTTTCTCTGCCACCCATTTTTCTATTTTTAATTTTTTCTAGCTTCTTAATATGTACCTTTCCCCTTGCATTCTATGTTTCTGTACGCAAACATAATATCCCTTTGTTCTTTCCTGCTGCCTTGCCATAATTTCTCCATTTGTCTTCCCTCCATTCACATAGATCAAGTCATTCCTTACTTTCTATCTCCACAGGATGCCTGCCTTTGTAGTTACAAACAATTTACCTGCCTATCAAAAGCTTGAAATGGGATCAGATGTTGCTCTGAAAAATCAGTCAGCACTGGAAAGAGGTGACATCTGCCAGAAGAAATGAGCAGAAGCTATAGATAGAACTATACTTCACTCTCAGTTTTATGTCTCTCATTTCAAATAACCCCCCCCCCCCAGGGCAGTCTGTTTCGTATGTAAAATCCTGTGCATAGAAAACAATGGACCTTACTTCTGAGTAAGTGTGGATAAGACTGTTTTATTAAAGCACTCACTAGGAATTTCATAGGAATGGTATGTAAAATGTAGAAATCCTACAACTGCTTAAATTTTAGTCCTAATATAGTCTTAATAGAGAAGAAAGAAAGAGACAGTACTTACAAACATCTTCAGCCAAAATAATACTTGTAAGCCGTGTTATTTGTGATGATCTGGCTTGAATAATAGCCTTCTGTGAACACTGATGGTTATCTTGTTCTATAGCTTCTATGCTAGCAACTTCTGGTCTGGTGGAAGACCTATTTAAAAAATATTAAAAATATTGGAATTATAAGCCAATTATAACCGCTGAAACCCTTTACATGTTACTTCTTATAGCAAAGTGTTTTGGAAATTGAAAATCCTACGATGGCGAGAACAGCTATTACTGCTGGAACTAAGAACAGTCATTTCCAGTGGTTAAGCAATGAATTACAGAAACAAGATTCTTCATGTGCCCATTTTGCCTGTTCAGATAATGTTACTGTAAAACATGAGGAATTTTATAAATTCTCTGTTGCTTTGTGAAGCAGCTTTGAAAGGGTGATTTGTGCAAAGCATGTTGATGTGAAATACCCCTTTGAAATCTGCACTATAGGTAGTCCTCACTTACCAACCACAATTGGGAACCGCAACTCTGTCACTAAGCAACATGTTTATAAATGTCATGTGGCCATGCCTGACTTACAGTGTCAGTTCCGGCTGTGGTCATTAAACATATCACTGCAGGTCATTAAGCACAATGTCATGTGACTGCAACTTGCGACTTCATGCTGGCTTCCCCACTGACTTAGTTGTCGGAAGCAGGCCGTGAAGGTCGTAAATGGTGATCACGTGACTGCAGGATGCTATGACCATTGTAAATGTGCACTGCTGCCAAGTGCCCAAATGGTGATCATATGACCATGGAGATGCTGCAACAGCCGCAACTTCAAGGACTGGTCATCAGTCTGCTTTTTCAGTGCCATCGTAACTTTGAACAGTCACTGAATGAGTGTTCGGAAAGTGAGGACTACCTGAGTTGGTATGCACAAAATGGGAAACATTTTGTTTCATACAGAACAAAACAACCCTACTTGAAACTCTCTGGCAAGTCATTTCAGGTTTGGTTTGTTCTGATGGAACAAAACTTGAAGTAGCTTTAGGTTATGCATTTTATCAGAACAAAACTCAAAACATTTCAAATCTTCCCACTATAAGAAACAATAGGAACTTGCAATCAGCTGCTGCTCCTTTATTTTTCATTTGAGAACCACAAGGGTAGATAGGGCGGCAAGGTAATCCATGCTAAGTACTATCAACCACACAAATTGCAGATACATTTGCTTAGTCAATGATTTTTAAGCTTTAAAAAGAATAAAAATAAATCCCTATAGCTTTTCTCACATACTGAAAACTCTAATTTAGAATCTATTATCAACCTCCTGCCCGTCTTCAACAGAGATGTTATTTATTTCAGTAAATAAATCTTAGTTACTCAGCCAACAGATTAAAGAAGACAGCAGCTATATGCTTATTTCCTTCATTACGTTTCTGCTATTCTTCTCAGTTTTATTTTTTTTTAAGATTTCTCTGACCACTATTCCTATGGGCTTTAACACACCATTTATTTAGCAAATTCAAACAACAGATTTGACATGTTTTGTTCTTTAGGAGAGCCTGCTTACCATGCAAGCACAGCAAAAGCAACTATGTTGACTTGCTAATGGTTTTGCTCATACACAGTGGGGTCTACTGAGTGCAAAAAATGGCTGCTGATGCTTCTTACTAGTACTAACATTACAACAACAAAACGTGAGTATGGACATGCCGAAGCTCAACAAACTGGCCCAATTACCATAGTTTTCTCATTTTAAAATGCATCTTGAAGCTCAAATTTAACTTAATACAAGAGAAGGCACAGAGTGCACACTGAACTTTAAAACACCCACCAAGCCAACACTATTTTTATTTATTAATCAAATATATATGGCTGCCCATCTCACAAAAAGTGACTCTGGGTGGCCTACAACAACCCAAAACAATATATATAAACAATCATTACATAAAACCATTATATAGTAATTATTAAAACATTAAAAACGATAAAAACAGAACTAAAACAGAAAAGGAAAATAATAGGCAAAGGGATGTTAATAACAGAGCCACCTTACTACTTCACCTCTCCCCTGGGGTCTCCAGGCCTGCTGACATAACCAGGTCTTGAGGGACCTTCAAAAACTCAGGAGTGATGAAGCCAGTCTCACCTCTGGGGGAAGAAGTTTCCACAATGCAGGCAACCACAGCAGAAAAGACCCGCTGCCTATGGCCCACCAAACGTAGCTCCCTAGATGACAGAG